TATTTTTGTTATTTTCTCGCCTGGTCCATTATACTCCTGCTATGAGTGAAACCATCCGGTATTTTTCTTTCTCTTTCTGGCTTATCTCACTAAGCATGAAAAAGATCCCATTATTTTAAGAATGATCAAGTCCAAACTCACTCCTCACGCCTAAGGAAGAGAGCTCCCTTCATAATCTGGCTGCTGGGCTCCTGCTACCCCCAGCTTCCCCTCATTTTCTATTCCTTTGCTTAGATCAGAAGAGATTCAAGCAGTCACCTCACCTCATAGCTCAGATGCCACCCCTAAGGGTGCTTTCCTTGGTTTTCCAGTTCTGAGTCTGTGGCCCTTCTTAGATGCTCTGCCCTGGGATACTTCTCTCATCATAGCAGGTACCCTAGGTATATATTTTTTTCTCCAGCCAGATCATGAATGCTGTGATGTCAAGAGTGGTTTCTAGGCCAGTATCATATTCCACTGTATGATTCACAGGCCTGGAGGGCAGCCCATGTGTGACTGAAGGGCACTTGGAGAATTTCTAGTGCACTCAAGAAGGTCAGTCCAGTGCTCCCAGGGTACCCTCCAGTGCTGTAGTTTCAATCTCAAGGTTATCCAGGTATTAGGCTCTTGCAACCTTTTTCAGACCTGCACCCAGGGTCTCAGGTAGTGCTTGTCAGGAAAGAAAGGGGCCCCGGCCAGGAAGGGTGGGACAGGTGTGGCAAGATCAAAGCAATAGCTCTTGGCCAGAGGTATAAGAGCTTCCTGGAGGAAATGAATTACTGTGCACATGAACTTTATGAGCTTTCTATTCAATCCTGAGCACCATTTTTCTTATTTATTAAAACCACACATCATTACAGTCTCTACATTTCCTTGCAACTATTGAAGTTTAAAGAATTATACAGAGAGGTAATAGTTTAAGGTGATACTTCTTATTCCAATCTCCTATTCTTTGACTCACAGAATATCTATTTTGACAATTCACTGTGCTGGGATGAAGGAAATTTAAAGAGATGTGAGATGTAGTTCCCTTGAGGGTAGAGACGGTGAGAAAGATTCACGGGAACCATGCCAAAAGGCTCACAGGTGGTAGAGAAGCTTGTTTTGCTGTTTTGTTATTGTTACAGAAAAAGAATACAAGGACCATTTGAGAAAAAAAAAGGGGGATAGTTTTTCCCAAATGCATGAGGTAACCTCTAAATCACTGTATAGTAAACTGAAGTATGACAAAAAGTTGTTAATTCCTGGACCAGGAAGGAGAAAACAAAAACCCAGGCCAGTGTGCTATGTCAGCATTCTTGCTGGAACGCTCTGAGATGTTCTCATTCTGAAATTTCACACTGCTTCCCTCTTTTTGATCATCGTGAACTATCCTAACTCTGAAATAACTTATTCTAAAATGTTTCATTCATTGAAAGTGACCTATAGGATGGCTTAAGTAGGTGGTCATCAAATCCGGGTATATTCAGAATCCCGGAATCTTTGAACCACATGGACTTTCTGACCTAACTCAGTCCTAAGGCATAGGACTGCCTGTGGATAGGAGCAGACATCTTCTGAAACCAAACAGCATTCCCTAGGGCACTGTGATGTACAGTCATATTTGGAATGCCATCCAGGCATTGCCCAAATCCAAAATTGTCAACCTGATTTTTAAGGGTGAACCTCATATACACTTACTGGTTGTTGTACATGGTTGGTGTACTGTGTCCTACTCGCAACAAATATGTGGCTGTCTCTCACCTCACAACCCAATATCTCTAGCAGGTCACTCATGGGTGCCTTCTCTCTTGTTATTTATCCTTGGGGGGCTCAGTGTCTATGTGGGTGTGTCATTGCATGCCTTGGCCTCTCACTTCCCTGACCTACTCCCAAAGTTGTATTTCCTTATTTTTAAAAAATATTTATTTATTGAACAACCATATACCAGAGACATTCTGTGGGGGCGGAGTGGGGAATGGGATCAAAAACGGGGGTGGGGGGGGAAGGGAGGGAAATGCATGGGACTAGGGTGGTGGCACAGGGGTGATCTGGTGATGGGAAACCCGCGGTGATTACAATCGAGATGGAAAAAAAAATGTGCAAAATGATATAAAAATAAACTTTGTAATAAAAAAAAAAAGATTTATTTATTTATACATATAGTAGCTGGGGTGTAGGCCAGAGGTGCAGGGGTGGAGGCGTGAGCGGATTCACCAGGGACAGAGTGGGGAACAGAACATGTAGATCTACTGAAACACACAGCTGAGGGGTCAGGAGAGGTCTGCTGCGCTGTGTGGGTTAACTCCCTGTCTGGGGATCGAGCTTATGTTGCAGTGGCTGTGAATAGCTTCGTAGTGCTAAGACTTAGCCCCTTGTACCATCAGAAAGGCCCTACATTTCCTGATTAGTCCCTGTGTCATTTCTGTAGCCGAGTCCCTGACCAGAAGAACCTTCTATTCAACACAGTCCCCTAATTTTCTAACACACTGAACCCAACTGCAGTCAACCCTGGCAGTTATTATTTACACAGCACAACTCTCACACCCTCAACTCCTTTTATAGTCCATTATTAATATTTCTTGTCAAAATCCCTAATTCTTTGCTCCTTCAATTGTACTCACCGAGTGAAACCCAACATTGGCTAAACCCAAATTCTCCTTGCCTGCAACCCAGCATTTGTGCTTCGCTATAAGAAAAGACAGTCATGTTGACTGTTCTTCTTCCCATCCGTGGTAGCTGCCTAGTTCAAGTGAGCATCTCTGTGCTGGGCAATTATGGGAAACTCATCTTCTTCCC